ATAAACAAAACCGATTTTAAAGGCCTGTTTATATTTAGTCATGTTGCCATGGCAACGGTACATACGTCAGCTTAGCCATCAAAAAACCAAAGTTTGTGTTGTTAACTTGCTTGCTACCATTTTTGGCGACCGAGGGATCAAGGGTTTTAGAGAAAAAGGTGAATGAACACAAGTATCAAAAACTGTGTTCAGCCAACTTAAATGCATACTCACTTGGTACACACTGCAACCTTTGAAGGGTCATGAATGTATGGGCAAGTGTCCTGCTTGTTGCATTTTCCTGTAAATTATAATAAAAAACATAACGAAAGTGTAATACAAGAGGTCACAAAGCAATGTAAAATGCAGTCACGTCTATCTATTTCTACTTACAGACCATTACCAGAGAGAGAGAAACTGATCACGCTAGTATAGTTTAAGAAGAGTCATACAGACAGATTACTTGACTTCTCCTGATGGAATTCAGGGCGCCCGCGTCAACCTGTTGTTGTTGTTGTTGTTGTTTGAAAACATTACCCCACAGAAAGAAAATTTGTATCGAGCTCTCCCCCCATTTTTGAAAACGACTTTGGAGCAGCCCTGAATCCTCAATTCACTAGTAACGACTGCATTTTTTAAGGGTTTAATGCGCGCTCTTATTAGTTGATTTATGGTCACGTGGCAATAGCTACATCTAAATGACGCCCCCGCGGGCAACAATTACGCTCTTCTCGGACCGCTCTCCCACTAACTAGAGGTTACTTTAACTTCTTTCTTGCCTTATTACTACACACTTAGTACGCTTCAGCTATATAACAAAACACTTTATTACTGGGCCTTTGGAAAACAGTTAGTTTTGTTTTTCCCTCCAACATCTAGTCTCCTCCGCAGCCGTTTTCTGGGATGTCACACAACGCTCCCCCCAAAGAAACGGCTGCTCACATCCGAACCACATTCTTTTCCTTTTGTGTTCGTGGTTTGTTTGCGCTCTGTTGAACAGACCAATCACATAATAGCAAAGTGTGAATGACGTAAGCTTTTGCGCGAAAAGGTCTGCGGTGCGAACAAGCGAGGGATTTCTGGCTTTTGTTTCACGCCGCACGTCGCCAAAAATAGGCGGTGTTCGCAGGCTANCTACCGAGAACAAATCCAGATAGCGGTAGGACGGAGGATTTGAACCAGGGACCTCCAGATTTCAAATCCAGCGCCCTAAACCACTCGGCCACGCCACCGTGCCCAAATTCGGCCAAGTGACCATATTGCGGTACCCATACAGGTCAGTGACTTGATATCGTAGGATGTTAGGACGTTTGACGCGGCCTCTGATTGGTAAATTGTGGATTTAGGCACAGTAATGGTTCAATAGACCAATTTTGATATATTAAAATTCAGCCTGAAACAATATAGTCTCCTCCGCAGCCGTTTTCTGGGAAGTCACGCAACGCTCCCCCCAAAGAAACGGCTGCTCACATCCGAACCACATTCTTTTACTTTTGTGTTCGCAGTTTGTTTGCGCTCTGTTGAACAGACCAATTACATAATAGCAAAGTGTGAATGACGTAAGCTTTTGCGCGAAAAGGTCTGCGGTGCGAACATGCGAGGGATTTCTGGCTTTTGTTTCACGCCGCACGTCGCCAAAAATAGGCGGTGTTCGCAGGCTACGATCATGACGGACGCAAAAAAATGTAAATGAAAGCCCTAAGTACAAGTGCTTCATGTGCTCATCGCTATGTTCAGCTAATGAGAG